TTGTCAATTATATCAGCTTGTAAAAAACTAAACACCTTTTTTCATTTTAACAATAGAGATGAATCTCAGATTGACTACTTTGTGGAAACTAAGATGTTAGCCAAAATAAACTTGTCATTTTACCGTGAACTTCAGAATTTATCGACTCATGATCCAATTATGATTTCCATTGATTGTTGTCTTGAAGGGATGGATGTAAGCACTAAAAATCCAAGAACTTTACGTATCAAATGGGATAAAATTGACAAACAAAAATATGAAACTTTATTACAAGAGAATTTAAAGATTTTAAAGAAGTGCCTGTTTTGAATCTGTGGAAAATATTGGTAACATTTTAACAAGTTTTTCTAACATTTTTGTGAAAACTGGAAGTGCCAAAAAAAATCAAAACTCAAAATATAAGGGATTCTACGCTTCAAGAAGATTGCCTGACTGGAGTAGTTCATCTGATAAAGGTGGAATGTACAGAATATATAACAGCTAACAGGTAACAGATGCGCAACTAATTTCAGGTAGGCGGTAATGGTAGCCTTTTCCTCAATTCCCCTGCCCATATCGTGAACTTCGATATGTATGATTGCTCATTTCGAAGCTGAAACATTTTCACATATGTAGGTAAATTTTCGGGGTACTAAGAGATATTCATTTTTCCGTAATTTAGCACACCCTAAAAAGTCTTTTGTGATGCGGCTTCTCGAGGAAAAAATCCCTTTTTTTTCGCACAATAAGTTCTTTGAAAATTTAGTTCGTTGCATACATTTAATATCTCCATAGGTTTTACACATTTATTCTGTGGTCCTCTGCTCTCGAAATCTGCACAAATGGATAAGCTCAGTCACTTGTTATAAATTGAATCATGTCCAATATCACTGCACAGAGATGTTTTTTAACTCACTACTTTTGTGTTCCTCACTTTGAGAAGCAATAGGGATATTGACCCATCTAGGAGATATGTATAGGCAAAATATCTGTCCATATCCTATATACCCTTATCTTCCAGTGGCAGTCAAAATTTCTCGCCCTTCATCCTGGTCGACCGATACCTTGCAGAACCTATCTATTGTATTTTATCGTTAATTTGTTCTCTATCTGAAATATTTGCCACTGGACTAAAGGGAAAAAACAATTATGTTGTTGGGTAACTGCTTTATTGACGAATAAATCTGGACATTTCTTGTTTTCATGTTTACGAATGGTTCATTCTGAGATCAGAAAAATTTCAACCCTTTAGTTAAGCTATCACTGATTAATTTCAGAGCGTGTATCACCTAGTTTATTTGGCCCTCAGTGGCCAAGTGATCTATGCTTTTTATCTACAGTAACTTATAACAACCCTGTCAACACTGACGTTGTGAGTTCGAATCCCACAAGTGGCAGGTGCGTTCGAATTTAATCTTAATTGACTAAAATTGCCAGTTTTCATGTCGAAGGAAGGTGGTTCTCTAATAAAAACGGTTCCCACGAGATAGCCAATAATGCTGAAAGTGGCATTAAACGCCAAAATCAATCATGCAATCAATCACTAAGTTTTTGTGGTCTTTAGGAAAGTAACATCTACTTTATCATATATGTTCAGTGAATAGAATTCAGGATAGGCATTTAATATCTGATTTACATGTTATTTTTATCGTCCGATGTTAATGTGTAGCGAGAAAAATATTTGATAGAAAAAAAAATACAATAAGTTATTTCCTTTGGGAACGAATAATGCCTTTCATTTACATGCTTGCTGTGCAAACAACATGTTAACAATGGATTTCGATTCTTGTTTGAGCTGTTTATTAAAAAAAGTAGTCTGAACTTTCCCTAAATTTATTTCAAAATATGAACATTTTCAAAAAGTATATCAATCTTCGAGTAAGTTCATAGTATCATAGTCCAAGCAGATCACGCAATTGTAATCGTCTTAGAAATATAGCCCAAAACCGCTTTTTTTTTTTACATATTTTGCCAATTTTGCTATTTAAACTAAAAATTATAAGATGGACACCATTAACCAAAACTATAATTATGTTTGAAGTAAAGCCATTTGTTGTTTTTCGGGTAAAAATTATTTCATATTGTCCTTCAATTCATAATTTTACAAAAACATGCAAAATTTAAAATTTTGTCTCCAAATATCTTCAGCAGCAATATGCAGAGCTTAATAGCATTTTCATTTTATGTTAATATGTAAAATTGTGAAACGTTCAATATTTAAAGTACACTTTAAAATTCAATTTTCAATAAAATTTGTTAAATTTGAGATTTTGACCCTGTTAGTGAAACTAATAAAGGGCAAGTATATTGACCATTCCTCCTGCCATGAAATAACAACCTACAAAGTTTAATTTCAAACATATTTGATGTTCGATGTGTACTGATTGATAATTTAGTCTTAGATGCATGATTTTTTTATTAGTTTTTATTGGCTTTGAACTAGCTGTCAGTAACTGCGAGTACTCTCAGATCTGTACTTGTCTTTTTGTTGGGATGTACAAGTACCCGTCCACGTCCACTCTGTGTTTTTGTTAGATGTATTTCTATTTGTATCCATCTGATGAGTTAAGCCTTTTTCAACTGATTTTTATAGTTTGTTCTGTAATTCAGTGGTTGTCGTTTGTTGCTGTGTTACATATTTGTTTTTCGTTCATTATTTTTTACATGAATTAGGCCGTTAGTTTTCTCGTTTGAATTGTTTTACATTTGTCATTTCGGGGCCTTTTATAGCTGACTATGCGGTATGGGCTTTGCTAATTGTTGAAGGCCGTACGGTGACCTATAGTTGTTAATTTCTGTGTCATTTGGTCTCTTGTGGAGAGTTGTCATTATCAATCATACCACATCCTCTTTTTTATATTGAAAATATTTAAGATTAACGATTTAATTCTAATAGCTATCTTTTTTTTCTTTTATCTACAATTTTTAAATCATTTTATACTTATTTTTCATATAATGAATGTAAATTTCAATTTAATAGCAGTGGCTGAGTGGTCTATGTAGTTCTGTAATGAAATAAACGTTGCTTTAAAATATTAGTTCTAAAAAATTTGGAATATCATTTCCACTGGAAGAAATATTACAGTATCTGCTCCTAATGGAATAAAAGGGTATAGAATATAGGATGTTAAACACGGGAACAGATAGTATAGCACTGTCAATACTACACATCCCGGTTTTAGGTGGGGTTCGTGTTGCTTAGTCTCCAACTTTCTATGTTGTGTTTTGTGTACTATTGTTTGTCTTTTGGTCTTTTTCTTGTTTTTTGCCATGGCATTTTCAGTTTGTTGTCGACTTATGAGTGTGGTATATTTTGCCTCTCTTTTAAAGTAATCAGTGGCCTATCAACTCTGGAATTATATGTTTGAACCCCGCTCGAGTTGAGGTGTGTTTAACTCCGATCTTATTTTACAAGGATTGCCAGTTTTCCTGCTGAAGGGTGGTGGTTTTCTCTGTGTACTCCGAATTCCTCAACCAATAAAAACTTCCCGCCATGATAAAGTTGAGGTTTCTGGAAGTGGAATTAAACCAACAAACAAACCAATAATTCAACAGCTTTTTACTTTATCAATGCAATTTGTTTTAAAACAATCCACAACTTATGTCCTTTCCTGGTGCATCTAAAATTTGACAATTGTTAATGTAAGCATAGAGATGAATACAACCCCATTCTTTGCTATACCTGATGGTAACGTTTTTAAATCTTTTAAATAAATATGCCCATTTGCTCTGGAATACAATCGCTTTACTGTCTGTCCTGTGCTGGTAAAAATATAAATAATACGTCCGAAGCGCTTTTTATGGGTTTACTTTCTTCAGATGCGCTCAATCTTAAACATTTGAATGAAAGGGATGTATAAATACGGATAAACGTTTGGAGCTTTATGACCAAAGAAATCTAAAAGGTGTATTCAAATTAATCTAAGACCAACTTTGGCTGAGGGAGTTGGAACCTTAGTTTCTGAACAATTTTTTAATCAATAGTGTATTTTAGTTAAGTAAGATGTCATAAATCATTTCAGTACAGGAGCACTTACTACTGAACTGATAATACCCTCAGGGACTAACATGCCACAAGCTGCGGTATCGACTCAATGCTACTAAATGAAAAAAACACTTTGTTATAAACTTCGTGTGTCCGAAGCTCTTTTCTGGATTTATCTTCATCCGAACCGCTTAGACATTAACATTTGAAAGCCAGGGATATATGAATACGTAGAAACGTGATACAAAGAATCATATGGTTTTGTTATGTAACACTAAAAAACAATTTATACGATAAATATTACAAGAATATAAATATGATAATGCTTTATTTGATTCACCAGAAAATAATGCCCTTTTCAGAATTCAAAAGTAAAACATTTAAACTTTAAACAAGTATGAGTAAGGAATATTTGGTATAAACATATGACACAATAAATAACTAACGGAAAATGTCAACCTTCGTGAATTTCAGTGTAAAAATACGTATGCCGGCAAAATGAGAAATACAAAATAATTGACACAACCGTTATACTGTTTTCGGCAAGAATAACGTTGGTTTTAGTAACTTGTAAGCCATATGCGACTGTTAAAGTACTGTAAGACTGTCACAGGCATACATTAAATATTTCATGGAGCCGATATTTCTTGTTTATTATATCAGTTTTTCCAATTCCACTGTTCCTTGCTTCTGTTCGATATCTATATCGATGTTGATTCATGCAAATAGATTTGAATAAATTTGATGGGTTCATTTGTTCGTATTATAGTCCAATTTTACACAAACACTCCGCATCCCAAATAAAAGTACAAATCACGTTGAGAAATATAATAGATATTAAATAGCATACCCGATTCGTAGGTAATGTTAACTGTTGAAATGATTTTTCGACAAATTATGTATAATCATTATCTGTATGGCAATTGTCGCTTTCTGCGCAACAGAATCCTTGCAAAAACTCTCCGAAGGCTTCATAGGTACCCTGTTGCAAGGCAAAATATTTGTTCCTAATTTTTCTATATTTCCAGTTGCACTAATCGATATTTAGCAAAGAACAATCAATTACTCGTATAATTATCATCGGTAATTCCAATTTTTGAAACTATAGATAATTGTCTAATATAAACGTATGACATTGATATCTTATCTCCCTTTAGTATCATCTCCCCCATTTCTTCCTCTCAAAATTAACTATTACTGAGTTTGCAAAAATAACAAGGTTTGGGTGTTGTCATGAACTATAAAGAAATGTATTCATTTACACCGTTAGCTTGAAGTCGATGAATCAGAGGGCCTTATTGGATCATAAGGATCTGATGAAAGACTGTCAACAACCCGCACTCCTGGAGGAACACCATTATTTGCAACACGGTTCAGTTGGCCATTTTGCATTTCTAATGAAAACGAGTTTAGACCATTTACTAGACGCCCATTATCGTCGTTAGAAGGTTGATGAGTCAACAAATGAAGAGATTCCTGCTGCCGTGGAGGTTCTGAAATAAAACACATTCTATTATAATATTTATAATATTATCATAATGTTATCATTACTGTTGCTAATGTTTTTATTGTTTCTGTTGTACTTGTAATTGTTTTGACGTTCAGGTTGTTATATACTATTTAAACAAAATTCGAATACTAGTAAAAAATACAAGCCTGCTCTTCTTGCTGTTGTTCAAAAACGGAAGTTTGTCTGGTTTGATTGAAGCTCATGTCATGAACTGATGCTAACGTGTAGATATATGATGAAGTACATTCTTGTGTACTTCTTGCAAGCACCATTAAACGTTATTGATCATAATTATAAAATGCAAAAGAAATTCCCCTCTTTTATTTCTCATTATGGTCATTTAAAAATTCTTCAAATCATTGCTTAAATTCCAATTTGACAGTTTTATGTGTATTTTTTCATGTATTAACAAAATTATGTCGTATTGGTATTTCCAAATTTTAAATATGTAACCAATCTTCCAATGAATAAAAAAACTTAAAAACTGCAATGTTTGTAGATATTGGCAATTGGTATAGCATAACTCAAAACAAAATCTCAAAAATAAATAAGAAGACGGACAATCCAGGTGTGTGAAAAATAATATCAAAATATTCAATGTTTATTATAGACTCTAAAAAATTACAATTCCAGTAGGTTTAAACAACTTTCGGATTTCGACCCAGCGAGCTGATGAAAGTCGAGGGAATTTGGCCATTCACCTTCAACGATTTTTTGTTTATCAGCCATCAGATAACGAAATATTTGGACACAATTATTCACAGCGAACGATGTCGCTTATATTATATAAATATAAGCATAAGCATACAGCCACATGATGTTTGCTTCATAGCTGTCCTTTTTACGTATAATTTAAGTGCGTTTTTTTTTGTGGTTTTAAAGGCAGCTTTTTTTTTCGATCGGAAATTGTTCTGTAGGTTCACACATGTTTAAAAATATTTCGGGTTTTTTTTCAACACAAACGTTTCAGTACTTATCCACTCTCTTATATATTAAATACCATGAACTTGAGCAGCTACCGTTGCGACAGGTCTAGGGTTGTTCTGGTCTTCTGTAACGAAAGTTTTAAATTCATTTTACTTTTAAATCTATCAGATAGGGAAAGTAGCCAACATAGTTTTTTTTTGCAATATCTAGCAAAAATTCCTTTAATTATGTGATGTTTTATTTACCTGTAGACAAATACAGTTTATGATTTATCTATTGCTCCAAACTGTTACATGGACCACAGGTGAACGAATATTCTATTACGTCAAACCGTATAGTATCCAAATAATGAAGATATATGCCAACTTTTCCTTGGATGACGATTGTTATATTGGAAAACTGTGCAAAACTTTGCCGTAGGTATAATATGAAGGTTCTATAGACTGGTTCTGTCCCTTGCAACATACGGGTATCAGAGCAAAATAGACAGGAAACCAGTCTACAAGTTCCGATTCATTACGTTTTGATTGACGTCAGTTCAAAAAAAAAGTAAAAACAAAATGGGAGTTTAGCCACGAGATTTCAATTATATCCATATGAAAGAAATATTTCTAATTTTAAAGAATTTTAAACATATTCAGGATATACATGTAGCATGCAAGTTAAGATTGAATTTTCATTTATAAATATATTTCTAACTGTTGAAGTACACTATGAAAAAATATTTTGTGGGTAACAAAATGTTTAAATTTTACCGCAAACATTCTTTGCATACATTTATAGTATCAATGCGACTTCTCTTCACTTTGCACAATATTCCTCATTCTGCACTTTAAGACAATTCGAAAGATATAATATAAAAACAAAGGATATGGGGTATCCATCCAGGACCCAAAATCAGTACATGCAAAAAAACAAAAAACACTCAAAGCAAGGGAACAGCGCTTTTATTGCTGTTCTTCATCTCAAAGTCACAGTGAGGCCTTCAACACGAATAAAAAAACTATCACATACAGTCCAGGTTTGTTTCATAATGCCGAATGGCCAACACAGGAACAAGTAGTGCTTAATTTAGTCGTGTTTTTAACAAGGTTATAGTGTCCCCTCAGTCTTTAACTTTTGTTCTCCCGCGCACACTTTTGCGGGGGACATAGAAATACCGGGCGTGCGTCTGTCCATTCGGTATTGTTAGCGCTCTCACAGGTACAATTCTTGCCAGATATTGATAAAACTTATACTATAGGTTAATATCAGCAACATCTCAGACAAGTTTTATAATGGTGGCCGATCGACTTTTTTTAAAAGAGTTATTCCCCTATATTATCGGTTAATATCTGCAATATCTTGGACAAGTTCTAAAATTGTGGACGATCGACTTTTTAAAAAGAGTTATGCCCCTTGGAAATATTAAATTTATGGAAAATGGCCTCGTTAGCGCTCTCATGGGTACAATTCTTGTCAGATTTTTATAAAACTTATACTATAGGTTAATATCAGCAATATCTTGGACAAGTTCTATAATGGTGGACGATCAACTTTTTTTAAAAGAGTTATGCCCCTTGGAAATATTAGATTTATGGAAAAAGGCATCGTTAGCGCTCTCACGGGTACAACTCTTGCCAGATTTTTATAAAACTTAAATGATAGGTTTATATTAGCAATGTCTTTGACAAGTTCTAAAATCAGTGCCGATCAATAATTTCTAAAAGAGTTATGCCCCTTGGAAATATCAATTATATAGAAAATTGCCTTATGAGTGCTCTAGGGTGTGCAATTTTTGCCAGATTTTTAGGAAATTTATATTATAGGTTTATATTCTTATATCTATTATATCATCAATGTCTTTGACAAGTGCAAAAATCAGACTGAGTGCTGATCAATTATTTATAAAAGTGTAATGCGCCTTGAAAATATTGATTTGGAAAATTGCATTGTTAGCGCTCTTATGTGTTCAGTTCTTATCAGAATTTTATGAAACTTATATCATAGGTTTATATCAGCAATGTCTTTAAACTTTCGAAAATATAAGTTCTGATCAAATATTTTTAAAGAGTTATGCCCCTTGGAAATATAAATTATAATTGAAATCACATTGCATTTGCTTTAAAGCCTTCATTTCTCTAAGATATTTTAAATAAAAAAGTTTTAAAAAACAACAAAAAAGTGCTCTAGTGTCCCCTCAGTGTTTAACTTTTTTTATGAGAAAAAGGATAATGGAATGTACAATAATAATTGTATGCTTTGAATAGAGCTATTTTCTGCAGTTCCTTATCTATTATGAATTATAAAAAAACTTCTTAAGTAGCTTGCTCCTGTAGTATATATAATGTCCGTCTGCTATTATTTCTTCTAAACTATGTCCCTGTGTCATTTATCTAAACTGTTAATTATTATTAACTTCTATAACAAAAGTGAAAGAAGATAGATACCAAGGGGCATTTAAAAAACCAAACGTCGTAGAAAAACAGGACCATAAGAAAAACACATGTACAAAAAAATAATACAAAACGACTAAAGATTGACGACGTCCAGCACAAAACGTGGTTCAGCATGTGTGCGCTGGAGCGTTTAACAGTTCCTGTCTCTTTTTTGACATCCGTCCTGTTTCTTATCTCAAGGTAAACATTCGATTATAAGTTGTAATGAATGAAACTGCTAGTGCGTTTATATCATTTTATAAGTCATGTACAAATTGTAACGATGCATAAACACTGTAAATTATTAATTTGTGAATCAATTGCAGTAAGATTGTCAACATTACCCTCAGCAACACTTTCTCTTGTAGCCCTGTGAAATTCTTCTTCATCAGCAAAAGGTATATTTCGCTCTCCTGAGATTCGAGGTGGCTGGTTTTCAAATGTTTCTTCCTCATCAAGATGCGCTGTATCATCAATAGGAATATTTTGTTCTTCTGTGTTTCTATGTGGTTGTTTTTCAAATGTTTCTTCTTCATCAATAGGCACTGCAGTAGCTTTCTTGTTATTTTCCTTAAGGCCACTATTGTAACTCATTGTTTGTTCCTCTAAAGTATCCATTGCTAAAAGATGAGAGTGGAGTCAATAAAAAGATTAGTTGGAATAACGTGATCTTAAGAGCAAGTACCGGAATATGCGCTTTCTAATCAAAAGAAATTAAATTCCTATAACTTAAGATTTACCACTAAAGTCCGTATTTACAGATTATAATGCGTCGTCAACTCTGAAAATGAGTATTGAAATGAACGTATGACTTTCTTAATACTAAATTGAAAGGTCAAGTCTCGAGTAAAGCAGACCAATCAGTATGAACCATTTATTGCAACTCTGCCTGTAAATCATACGAAATACAGCTTTTCATTTCAGCTCATTAAATCAATTAACTGTTGAACACGAGAAAATTATTTTTTTCCTGCTGTACCAAATTGATGATATACTGTTTACTTCATAACTAGACATAAAATAATTCTGGAATAATTAATCTTACATTCGTCCAAATCGTTAGTAATATGGTCCTTATGTAACAAAATTTCATTGACCATGGGACGTCGTTGTAATTGTTGAATTTTTTACAATTTACTGTAAAAGTATAACAATAGTGGAGCGAAAATCTTAACAGAATCAAAACAGAAAGGGGATTTGTCTTTAAAATATTTTTCATACAAATCAGTTAAATTAAAACTGTAATTAAGGTTACATGAACAATCATAAGACGTGCCACACCGGATATAGAGACAAAATAAACAACAGTGGGATTTCGTTAGAACTGTATGTTATTAGGTTGCTTCCTCAATGATTTGTTTTTGTTTTTGGTGTTTTTAATTTAGTAATGCTACTTTTAGCGCGATTTCATTTATCTTGACGGCCATTTTCATTGGTTGCGGACGCCGGAATGCCCGAAAAAAACACGCACCTACGGCAGGAAATATGCGGCTCCACGTCAATTAGATTGGTGCCTCATTTATGTATACACGATATCGCTTAATATTCATATCATATAATGTCCATCATTGACGTTCACTTGATTACTATTCCTTTCAATAAAAAAATGTTCAAGTTTCTTTTAATTCTTGTTGGAATATTTTTTCAATCAGCTGACGGATATTTTGCATCATTCATTTTCTGTCAATTATTTTCTTAATACCTTTACCGTAATTGACATTTTATGCAAATAATTCAAATGAAAATGTTGAGGCTCCTTTAATTTTCGTCCGAATATCTTTTCGATGAAATGCCAAACAGTTTGCATCATTCGTTTTTCTTTCAATTATTTTTTGACAAATTACGACTGTTTCCCCTTACTTGACATTTTATGCAAATTCGGTCGCGTTGCGTAAATGTGACAAAATGTGAAGCCATGGTGTGGAGATAAGTATGAAATGGGATGATCTCTAATTGACGTCTTCGATTTTGAAATCCTAAATGTTTTCAAACAAAATAATATCTAAGCTTCTGTATATATAATTTGCTTTGAACAAAATAAGAATAGCAGTATATATTCCGTAATTAAGCTCTGTGCTTCTCTTTGGTACAGTCAATATTATTGATTTCAAGTGACATGAATTCTTGAAGTATAGTCTCGGGGGAAAGGGGTTCCAAATTTAAACGAAAAAAATAAAACGTTTGTCTTTTCGTCATCTTTCGATTTTACCACGACATAGTAAGTTTCTCTTCGAATTATGAGCTTTGAGAATTCCGCATCTTTTTATTCAAACATGATCAGTGTCTGAGCAAAACATTAATGAGCTAGGATTTTGTCAAAGAACGTCTCGTCCTTTTTCTCAAAAAATTCATCGGTAATTACCAAAACCTAATAGATAAATATTTAGTGTCTATTTCACAAATAAAACAAGATGTTCTTGAGTTATAGATTCTAGGTGGTGAATATGTATTTCTTTTATTTTACTTTAGTTTCCGCGTTATTTTTCTGAATGCTATTATGTTGTTTTTTGGTCATATGACTTTTGACGTGACTTGGTAATTATGCATCCCGCCATCGGGTTTTTGATTTTTGACTTTGGGCATTCCTGGTGCAGGTGGGTCTTCAGGCTATCGTTTCACAAAAGATCGTAAATCGTACGATTTACGACTGGTCGTAGGATATGTTACCGACCAAGTTTACGAGTGTTTCACAAACGTGTCGGAATAAATATCGTACGACTTCCGATTACCGACCTCGGTTTTAACAGCTCTTTTGTGTGAAGGTCAGAAAATGGAGTCAACACGCACCTGTCAGTTCGTAAATAAACAATTTTGGATTCTCGATTGTTCAGATTGTAAAAGTAGAACGTGCTGGTTGTACGAGAAAACGTTGAAATGATAGCCTTACAGGTAAATATATGTTATGTCTCCTTTTTTATGCTTTTTAAAATCGTTTGGTAAACTTGGTAAAATCCCGGGTATTTTTCGAAGATTTCAAGCACAGTCTCTCAAAAGCAGACGACACACCACAGGGGTTTGTTACAAATTGCCGTGTTTGCTATCAGTATGAACCCCGAAAAAGTGATTTTTTCGGGGTTCGTATGGATAGTTATCTCTGCAAATTGTAACAAATCCCTGTGGACACACTAAAACTACTATAGTCAAAATAATTATGACGTCTTCAAAGGCTATTATATTTTTTTTTTGCTTTGACGTCTTACAAGATGTCATAATTATTTGGACTAACTAAAGCCTGACTGATACTAAACGTTATTTACCGGTAACTGAAAAGACCTTATGAGGGGGTTTATTCCCACTTCCCTCCCCTTATTCCCATACGAAAATCTGTGAAAAAAAAACTTTTCTTACTAATCCCATTTACCATGTTCACCCAGGAACATATATATTGATATACTGTTCCCAGGTTCACCCCAATATAAATATCTTACCAATATTGACACATAAAAGATACTGCATGGGAAGATTTAATACTTAATAGAGGGACAACCATGGTCATGATGGTGGTGGACAGAATAATATTTTGTTTTTTGTTAAGTTTCATCTGTTGCTATGCAAGCTTTGTTTTCCGACTTGATTTGGTGTACAAATCTACATTTTGTGTTGCAGAAAATTCATTTGAAATCTGGTTTTGGTCAATATTTTATAAGGTTCTTCCTCACTGGGATATTCATTTTTTACATGATGCGCTCTTAAACATTGCCTAGTTTAAGGGCCCTTTTTTCAATTTTAGGTACTATAAAGATTCAAATTTATTTTTGTCTTCAGTCTTGATCTTATGAGCATGTCAAATGTAAGCTGTGGAAACATAGCTATTTGGTTCTATGCCGATTTTTTTATTTGGACAGACTATACATCATGTACATATAGATCTAAGGTTCACATCCCAAGGACCATGAAAATAATGTTATTATTCCACATCTTGTCATATATACTTTACTTTCAAAAAATGGAGTATCATTGACATGTCTACATCATATGATCTCATATTGCAAACCTGACACAGAGACATATATACACATATACTATATAGACTAATATGAGCGACTAGTAGTGTACTAGTAGAGTGAACATTTCTTGCTTCTTATTCTACACATTTTGTCATTTCATGTAAACAATTAAATATGTTATTTTCCGAGGAGAGGAAGGAATTTGTGAAACGAAATATTTTGCCTTTAGTACTGTCAAGTTATATATTCACAGGAGTGTTGTTGAATAAATGAACATTTTCCCTTTTTTTACATTATGCTACCTTTATGCTACAAAGGTAGCATTTCCATTCTCATGATATACAAAGATATTATAGAGTGTCCTTCCAATGATAGTCATACATGTAAATCATTGTCTCATTGGCAATCATACTACATCATCATATTGTTATACATGTATGTAAAAAATATGTACATGTATACTTTGTAAATGTAAAAAAGACAAATGAAGTTGAACACAAGATATTTATTTGCATTTTTATCCGTATAGTCTCTGCACAACTGCCACTTCTGTTTAAATTCAATAGATTGAATGCGGAGTCTTGTATTTATTCTTAGTTCAATGATGTCACCATCACTTGCACAAAAATCGCATACACATGTACATCAAGTTTGGCATATGAACTATGATATTTGAACTACAATAATGTGGTGTTTTCACAGTCAGGATAAGCACATGTCATTTTCTCTCTTACAAAACCATTTTTTAGTATCACATTGATAGTAGTACATGTAATCGGTCCACTACATGACTGTGCAGTAACATTTGAAAAAAGTCATCACTAATAGTTGTTCCTGTCTACCAGGGAATCTTTTTTTCAATCAGAAAGGCTAGGGAGTCCTACATTCAGCACATGTATGATATTACATCTCTTGTATGCTGCACTGTTAGGTAAATTTGATCAACATCTTTGTTCTTTTATAACATGCAGGATCCTGTTAAAAAAAAAATGCTGTCAGATACTGAATGTAAATATACATGTATATAAACTTGTAAATGTCATCAAAGTGGTAGAAATAATAAAAAAAACAATTTATATACAATTCCTGTGATCAATGGTGATGGGTACATTTGTTCTTTAAAGATGGACAATTTTATAAACTGTAGCCATGGACAGGTGCCTGTCTTTATATTGAAGAGAATGAAAATGGCCGACAGCTTGAATGGTCATTTTTAATTGTAAATTGCATCAAAGCTGGTGAAAATATGGAAAAAACAACTTTTATACACAAATCCAGTATGTCATAAGAAAGTAATTCATGTGCTGGGAATAATTATTCTCTAAAGATGGAAAAGTTTATTGACTGTAGACATGGACAGGGGCCTGTCTTTATATTGAAGAGAATGAAAATGGCCGACAGCTTGAATGGTCATTTTTAATTGTAAATTGCATCAAAGCTGGTGAAAATATGGAAAAAACAACTGTTATACACAAATCCAGTATGTCATAAGAAAGTAATTCATGTGCTGGGAATAATTATTCTCTAAAGATGGAAAAGTTTATTGACTGTAGACATGGACAGGGGCCTGTCTTTATATTTTAAAAATTGAACGTGGCCGACAGCGAGAATACTGAATTTTAATTGTAAATTGCATCAAAGTGGGTGATTTAATGAAAAATTCAACATATTTA